CTCACGATAATGTCATCTGGGATCATCCACAATAAGAGATATGTGTTAGGCATTGTTGTCTAGAGAAACAAAACCAATGATACTTGTAAGTATAAGAAACAACTTTAGATCAAGAAGGTATCCAGCTCATTCCAATTCAAGCCCACGGGCCCAATACTAGCCAAAATCCTTTTCACACTCACAAAGCTGCAGGCTGGTGACCCAGAAAGGTGAAGTGGGACACAGGAGACCATGGGCTGGTGGGTGCAGACTCTTGTGGATCCAAGGTCAGTGAGAACATGGCAGGTCACATGGCAGCTCCCAGGATGGCTCCCAGGGTCAGCCATCCACATGAGGTAGTCCCGAGAGGTAGAAAGAGAGACCCAGGAGTAAGGGGCAGACAAAAAGACATTCTCATTGTCTCTTTTATTAAAAAGGCTCCCCCCAAGGAGATATCACCAGGATACTGGCTGAATGACATATTGGACTCTACCCCTACCTCCACCTAGGTCTAAGTCGACATGAAATCTAACCATCACAAGGTGTTTCCAGGATTATTCTTTTTAATGTTGCTTAATATCTCATTGTGTGTATATGTACCATAAATTGTTTATTCATTTATCCATTGATGAACACTTAAGGTATTTTCATCTATTTGCTATTGTGAATAGTTCTGCAGTGAACCTGTATGGGGGGAGGTCAGATGAGTAGGCATTCACCCCCTGAGGGCAATCAGTTGCCAGACTGCTGTCTCATCCCACCACAGGGGTGGGCCTGCTCCCTGCCTCTGGGGACAATGGACAGGCTCCTGTAGGAGGAGGTTTCACCCTACTGATAATGGTTCATATGGAGACCGAGAGAACACCCCCTCATTACTGTGTAACCTATAGTATAACCTCTTCCTGTGACCTATGTCTCTACCTGTAATTAGTGGGCTGGCATGCCCCCAAAAGGTATATAGACGTGGGTCAGCAATATAGAGCTCTCTGATCTTTCTCTCTGGCTCCCCTCTCTACCCCTTCTCTCCTCTCCTGTCCTCTCTCCCTTGTTCCCTTGCCCTCCTTCCCTTCCCCCTCTCTCCACGTGGACCACCAAGCTGGGCTGAGGTGAGCAATACTATCATGTAATATGTCTAACTGCATTATTGTATCTCTCATGCTCTCAATTACCTTAATATAATATTTATATATCTCAACCTTATAATTGTGCTTACTGAACCCGTGGGTAGTAGTAGCGGTGGGGGCTGGGCCCCTCACCCTCCAACATTTAACTTAATACTACTAACCTGAGTCTACATGATATCACCCTTAAGAAATACCCTGGTTTGGAGCAAGCTTTTCATTTTCAATTCATGCCATATGTTTTAGAATCACTCTTAGAAATTAGAAATTTGGAACATTTCAAGTAGCTATAAATGTAGAGCGACCATTATTATGAACTTCCATATGCCTCTCACCAACTTCAACTATCATCTTTTTAGTATTTTCATTGTTTCTCTCCTCCTTACTTGGTATTTTAAAACAAATCCCAGGTAGTATTTCACTTCACCCACAAGTTCAAGAATACCAATACGATTTTCTAACAACTTTAAAATTTAAAATAATCATAGCTTCGTGATCACGTGCAACAAAATTTACCAAAAACCCATAATATAATTGTGTTCAAATGTTTTCAGTTGTCCCAAATAGGCTTTTATGGTTGCTTCTTCTGATGTTTTTATCACTGTACTTAGTTGCTATGTCTAGTCAACCTCTTCATGTAGGATAGTTCCCCTTTCATCTATTCTTTTTATAAATGCTCTTTCCCGATTGAAGAACTAGGGTCTTCTTCCCTGTCCAGACTCACATTCTGTTTTAAAAGCATGTAACTCATTGGTTCCTTAAAAAAAAACTACATGTTGGAATCACATCTGACATTTAAAAAATATCAATCCCTGCGATTTCTGATTTAATCATTGTGTCAGAGAAAGTATCTAGATCGATTTAAAGGTATTTAGTGATTCTAATGTGCACTAAAGTTGTACTGCTCATTTAATTTGCTCCTGTGTTTCATCTTTACACTGGTACTTGGATCTCGAGTCTTAATTAGATTCATGTTCACTTTGTCGAAAATGTCATGAGTAGTGCTTCTGTCACTTAACAGAACATATATTCCTGCACTTTTCATGTGTAATGACTGAAAGGGCCAAAAGGAGCTCTAGTGGCACTGTGGGTTAAGTGTTCAGCTGCTAATTGCAACGTCTATCATTCAAACCCACCAGCTGCTCAACAGGAGGAAGTTCAGACTTTCTGCTCCTGGGATACCCTATAGATGCTCACTACCAGTCAGGATAGTGGGTTGGGTTTGGCTTTGACGGGACCTCTCTCTTTTTTTAAGTTTTCTCCCTTGTTTTTTGAGCTATTGAAGACATCAAAAAATAAACACTCGGGAAAGTGTCTATAGGTTTTCCCTCCCATTGTTTGCCATCCTCCCATTCCACTGCCATCTCAATCTAGTCAACTAAGGTTCGAGTCAATTCTAGTTTAACCTAGAAGCCCATCTAATTCAAAGGACTCTCAAGATCCTCCTCCCACCCCTTTTGAGGCTTCCTTTTTTCTGTGCCTACTTATCACAGGCCAGGCATTTTCTAAACACTTGACATGAATGATTAAATTAATGTACAATAAGCCTACCCACTATTACTATCCCATTTATCTATAGATGGGGAAAGTGGGGCACAGATGGGTTCAGGTATTTACCAAAGTCATCCAGGTCAAAACATCAAACCCATTTCCAGAGGTGTCGTGTAGGGTGATTAGTGGGGGGCATTTCTCCTTGGGGGCAAGTCCAAGGGGAAGCCAGACAAACGTAGCCATTGAATCACACCCTTCTCCTGCCTCCCAGTTGATGAATTCCTGCGTCCTGGAGCCTGCTCAGCGCCTCTCGCCTCTCGGGACAGCGGCCTCGGGGTAGCGGAAGCCCCGGAAGCGCAGGCTTCCTTACCCTCACCATGCCTCTGCTCTGTACCACTGACCTTTGCTCTTGTCAGGTGTCGCGGAGTCAGTTCTGACTCATGGCAACCCCGTGTGCAACAGCACAGAACATCGCTCAGTCCTGCCCTAGCCTCATAATTGTTATGTTTAAGCTCACTGCTGCAGCTCCAGTGTCAATCGTCTTGTTGAGGATCTCCCGCTTTACCAAGCAAGATACTCATTTCCAGGGACTGGTCTGTCCTGAAACCATGTCCAAAGTACATGAGAGGAACTCTCCCCACCTTTGCTGCTATGGAGCATTCTGGCTGTACTTCTGGGATAGATTTGTTTGCTCTTCTGGCAGTCCATTGTTCTTTCAATATGCTTCATCCCCATCATGAATGATGATGCCATCCAACTAAGCAGTAAAGCCTAGGTTACGAACCCAGGCAGCCTGGACCAGTCTGTACCCCCGAGCTGGATTGAGAAGGCCAACTGGGAAGAAGCAGACAGGAGACAAACAGGAAGATGGACTTCCTGAAGGCAGGAAGAAGAGTGAATAGGTTGTCTGAGGGGTGACCATGGAAAGCAGAAGCCAGGGTTAGCCTTGTGGGTTACTGCTGCAAGAGAATCTCAGGGGCCTTGGGTGTGGTGTGCTGCCTGCAGTGTGTCGAAGGATGACCGGGAGGGGAGACTAACAGTTGGAGACCAGAGGACTTTCCATAATTTCTTCCCAGAAGGAAAGGACAGAGAGTGACAGAAACAGAGGCAAGAACCTACTGCTCGTTTCTGTTCCTTGGATGTTTCTGAGACGACTCCAGGTTTTCCTACCCAGAACTCACATTCTCTGGGAAGCCCACTCCCCAACTACACTCTAGTGTCAATGTACGTTAACTGTTGGAGCAAGGAGTGCTCAGGGAAAAGTGAGCGCTTCAGCAGCAGGTGCCCAGAACTGGACGAGCCCGCTCTACTCCTGACCCAGAAGCTGTCACCCCTCTTTTCTCCTGTCTGCAGCTGCCAGCCTTTGGGTGGGGTGGTGGACGTGTTCGCTCAAGGGTTAACTTGGGCAAAACCAACGAGAGGAACCTCCTAGACGCTCCAGGAAGTTGCATGGGACCCCACCAAAGCTTCCGGTCCCCCACCCCCACCCCCGCCTCGACTTCTCTTCCATGGTTGGGGGCTGGGGGGCTTTGGCTCGCGTCCCAGGCCCTCTTTGCCTGTGCCAGTTTGAGTGCGGGTGGCCGGACGAGCTGCAGCTGAAGCACGAATCGTAGGCACTCCTGGACTGCCCGGGGCGCGCGTGCCGCTTCCCAGGATCCCAGCGATTCCCCTTCTCGGGCATCCTCTGCCCGGACACAGGCTCCGAGCGAGGGTGGGGCCCGGGGGCTGCCTAGGTCCACGATGGCAAGAGAATCGAGGGCGAGCGTGGCCCTGGGCGCCCCGTCCATCGAGGAGCAGACGGGGCTCCTCGCAGTGAAAGTGGAGAAGGAGGAGCCGTCGGCCTTCGAGGAGGAGGCCTGTTTGCCCGGCCGCCCCGCGCCGGGTCCCGATCGCTCCCGCCTGCGCTTCCGGGGCTTCCGCTACCCCGAGGCCGCCGGGCCCCGAGAGGCGCTGAGCAGGCTCCGGGCGCTGTGCCGGCAGTGGCTGCGGCCCGAGCTGCGCAGCAAGGAGCAGATCCTGGAGCTGCTGGTGCTGGAGCAGTTCCTGACCATCCTGCCCGCAGAGCTGCAGAGCTGGGTGCGGGAGCAGCAGCCAGAGAGCGGGGAGGAGGCGGTGGGCCTGCTGGAGTATCTGGAGAGGCGGTTGGATGAGCCGCCGAGGCCGCAGGTAGAGAGAGGCTGGTGTAGGGTCTGAGAGCTGGGTTTTATTTCACGCCTCAAGTCTCAAGATCGGAGTGAGGGGGGCATGCCGTTTAGGCCCAGATGTTCCCCATCCTCAGTGCCGTGTACCTCTTTAGCAGTGAGGTCGCATCCCTGTGTGCATCCCCGAGAATAGTAGTTTTAAAGGCAGGGAGAAAAAGATAAAGGAATACAAAGAAAGTCCATTGTGGTGAAAGAGCAACATACAAAATTTGCGATCCTCCCCCCCTGAAATTAAGACAGTAAATATTAAAATATTTACTGTGTCATAGGTACAATCATTCCACCATGACTTGTGACTGGTATCCATAATCGGTGGAAATGAAACGTTTCACGTAGAGATGAGTACAATGAATTTTTATTTTCCTTTCCGTGTTACGCACCACATACGAAGGAGCCCATAGACTTCGGGGAGAAAGGCTTCCTCTTGTGAGCATTCCTTCAGGCGCTCAGTGGCCAGAGGAAAGCCTTCTAACCCAGGACCAGAAGGGAAACCAAGGTT